CAAAGAAAAAACCTTCATTTATATTTTTCGTGTCAACTTCCGAGCGTTGAAAAAAAAGTTAGGATTTATGCTCCGCTTTTTTCCCTCTCCCTGTCACTCCAGAGTCCCCGGCCCGTTTCTTTAAGTAAAATGCACTTCTGCTTGAAAGTTTGCTTTGCGAGGGAGGAAGAAGTCGGAAGATTAAATATATTTTTCGGCCACGGCGAGGGTCTCTCGGCATTGATTTTGCCAGCTCGCGTGACTGACTCATTTTCATTTCCCTCCGAAATTCATTCCCGAGAGTCTGCTTTGCTTTTCTCCAAACGAGAATCCTCCCCGAAAGGACGGACGAAAACTCATATGTGCTCAGCGAGTATAGCATTTCGAGAGAGACTCACGCAAATACCAGCTTTTGCTTCTTATACTTGCGGTTCGCAGGTGAATTCGCAAGGTTGAAAAGAAGACGCGCAAGACGTTTCCTCAAGGGAAATTAGACCGCGCATTAATTTTTCGGCAGTTTTCAGCCACTTTGGAAAGTTTGTCAGTCAAACCGGATCGCTGACGCAAAGGTCGCTTGAGGAAGAGCATCAGGAGAATTTCGCAAACTAGAAAAATAAAAAGTTCAAAATGTCTCTAGTGGCCACAGTTGTTTACAAACTTTCCGAAACTCAAAATGGGATCTTTTTTCTAGTTGTTCAGGTTTAATCAGCTTTTTATTTTATAGTTCGGTTAAAATTGGCAATCATGATAATCCTTTTTTATGCTTCTTTTTCAAAAGCTCCAATTCCTTTAAGCGAATTAAATCATTTCAAATCCCCTATTCCGCAATCTAGGCCGGATATATTATTTCTCAATTTAGTCAGAAAATAATCCAAGCTCAGCGAGGAGAAAAAAGTGAGTTCAAATTGAAAGGGCGCGGCCTGTAAGATAAAGGGGATTGTCTCGGCGGAGTACAAATGCATTTTTCCGCCTGAGTAATTGGTGATCCAGCAGCTCTCGGTGGCAGCTGTGAATCATTTCGCAATTTAGCCAAGCCAAGCTAGGTCTGTATCTAATTTCGCAGCCACTCCTCGGCAATCCGTTATTCGCCCCCCTCGAAGCGACTGCAGGGCCATAAGAAAAAAAAATAGAACGAAAGTCGAGTGTGGCCGGGACCCCACCTGTGCTATTTGCTCCCTCGCACTTCTTTTCGCGTCGCACGTAATGACGTGCTCGCCGCGCAGGGGAAGAATGCCGAGGAAAAAATGGCCGGGAATGAGTGCACATTCGTTATGGAAACTGCCCTGGAGAGAACGAGAAAGGCGAAGGGAAGGCTCACTACGATAAGATGGGGCTAGGGCAGGACGGAGGAACTTTTATTGCTCTGCAGCTGCATCGCGTTTTTATGTCAAGCATCTTGTTTGCGCTTTTAAATGGTGGAAACTTTGTGCTTAAATGTCCTGCCTATCTTTTCAATTTTATAAATTTGGTGTGGACTGAGATATAATTATTAAAATGATCCTAGAAAAACAATTAATTGCATTGGAACTGATTATTTATAAATTAAAACAAAAGTACAATTTATAATTTAAATTTTAAAAGATTTTAAAGCGAAATATGAATAAAATTGTTATTTAATTTATGTGATAAAGACAAAAATTAAACTTTTAATATCATTATTTCTACCCCATATTAAGTTATAAGGCGTGATACTGCAGAATAATACTCTGAGCAGGAAAGGAGGGGGAAAAACTACAGAAAAAAAATCACAAAATTCTCAAATTGGCCGAAAACATCCAACTGTCCTCGTTGAAAAGGAGAAAATGAAAAATAAAGAATGTTATTAATAAATAATCTTTGTATGACAAAATTAAAGTGAACCATTGACAGCAGTTTTTGTAGCGCCCAGATGAATTTTAATTTGTGTATAATATTTAAAATTTCACTTTTTGCTCATTAAATTCAGCTTAATTTAAATAAATAAGCTCTGCTCTGAATTTCCGGATAGAGGAAATGAGCTTCCTCCAAAATAATTTGTTTTTCTTTGTTTTATAAAAGTGTATATCATGTTTTTGGTAAAAGGGTGAATAAAATTTTGTACAATTGTCTAAAACTCCCACAGCGCAATCAGAAAATTTACTTGCCGAAACGAATTAAAATAATTGGAAATCTTTAAATAAACATCTTCTGATTCAGTCACAAAATTCACAGCAAAATAGCGATTTTCCCCAAGAACGCTCTTTCCACTCGAATGGACTAGCGTTTGCGTTTTCCAACCCGTCCAACCCGGTTATAAATAATGCATAAATCACGGTGCAGTTCGCGTCAGCAAGAGGTAAATAATTTCACGTGCTTCCGCAGCGCATGCAAATCTCGGCATAAATAAATAGGCGAGCAGCTGCACTTCTACGGCAAGATGCACCTTAATGCGCGCAAACATCATCATTATTTATGCGGGAGACGAAATCTCTCGGTCACGCTTCAGCACTTAACCGATAAGGGTGTGTCCTATTTCGTCTTGAAAGCTGCACAGACCGTCGTGTTCAGGTTATTTGTGCATGAGGGCGAACAAGCATGTAAACCAACGAGAGACGTGTGTGTTTATTTGTGCGCCTGTCTTTATATCTTTAATGGAATTAAGTCGGGCGTCTTTCATCTTTAGCGCTGTTCGCTGCACTCGCGAATAAATTTTCCGCCGTGCTTTGCGTCGAATTTGGCTCTGCGGAGGCGCAATTATGCTAATGGGCCGGCGCAGCAGCATTATTTTGCATGTTTGCCGAGCCAAATCTGCGAGCGAGAACCGACAAACTTTCCCTTGTTGCCTTGCAAAACAGTCCGCGCACGACATTTTGCCCTTTGCCGCTGCGTCGTTTCAAATCCCTCTCTGCATTATAATGACTGGATTAAAAGAATTTGGCACATTTTTAATTCAAATTTTGGACGAATTTCCTAGATTGACCATCTTTTGTCATGGATTATGTGCCCTTTGCCTTTCAGGAATGATAAAAGGATACATTTTCCGAAATAAGTGAATTTTTGGCTTATGACAAAATACTTCCAGTTTTATATAATTAATTAATTAATTTAGTTTTCGTATCAATTAACAACAATTGCAGATAAGGTTTTATTGTTTCTTTCCCTCATCATTTTAATTGAATTAAAAGATACACGCGTTTTACTCCTTGTTTAATTTCAATCTTTAATTTAATAAAATGAAGCTGCATAAAATTTTGCAATCCCTCCTCTGAACATTAAAATTACTACGATTGTTTTACCATTATAACGTTTGTGACAATTTAAAGTTTGACGTTTGCGATCAATTTTAATTAGCGACTCGGCTGACTTGAATCATTTCAACATTCCTAAGCCAAGCGTACGATAAATATCCGCGGAATTTAATTAATCATGTCACCAGTCATGTAATTATGCGATGCGCGGCACCTTCGGGCTAAATTATTCGCCCCCGTCTTTCTTCGCGTGCCGACGTCTTTCCATAATTAAGGGGACACCCGACGAAAATGTCAGCTCAGAATTATAGCCGAGAAGAATGGCCTTTCCGGGTGTTTGCGCAGCTGATAAAAATTTAATAAAGGTGCTCGCTGGAGACTCGTCCTTTCTTCGGATTGGATTTCATCACGTTCATTCGGAATTTGATTGAACCCATTCACTTCTCGTCTCACTTTTGCCGACTCTATGCGTCCGTAAATTATAAAATATGAATGTTCCTCCCGAGAGATTATAAATATAGAATGTTTATTCATTAACAAAGCAAAGCAAACTCTCTGGTGAACAAATTTTGCTTTGTTGTTTGGAACAATTTACTCTTACGATTGTTTGCTTTCTGATTCGGCGTAAATCACTCGGGCAACCAGAATGATTTCGTTATTTTGCGAATGGCTGGCGCTCCTCATTAGCAAAACAGTTCCCTTCCGCTTCCCAGCTTTGCACGGACACGCAATTTGCAAAGCGTGCAAATATATATAATGAAGTGAAACTGACGGCGCTGCGTTTTGGCGAATAAATACGTCCGGCGAGGCCTGTTGGGAGATTTCTGCTGGGCTGGGGATGAGCTTGTTGGCGCTGCGTATGTTCATGTCACAGATTAACGCGTCCGCTCGTAATGCAATCGAGTTTTCCAGAGAATGCTCCGCAGCATTGTATCTACATACAAACCCACTTGCTCAATTTCAATTTGTCTCTTCGAGGGGACCCTCTCTGAAGCTGGCCATGCATTATTTTACTAAAAATATACATTAATTTATTAGGAAAAAAATATTGCAATAAAAAATAAAACTGTCGGTATTATTTTTAGCTATAAACTGATTTATTTGGGACTAAGAACTGTCATTTTTTTTACTAAACTCTAATTTATTTTAATTAATAAAGTATATTTTATTCTTTGAATGGTAAGAATTGAATTGATAATAAGTTTATTAACTTACTAGCATACATTAAAAAATAATAATGCCGAAATAAGGAATTTTGCCCTGGCTCATCTTCTCGTATCAAGTTGCATGCAAATTTGGACACTCAACGTGTTATTGCCACCCAGCTCTGATTGCGAGCCGGCCCGCGTTGAGAGTTTCTGGTCCATGCAAAAGGACTCGGTTTTCCTTTCATTCTCACTCACCCTTCTCACCAACTCGACTCTTCGCAGTCAGAACAAACAACGTTAATATCGAATTGAGATTCACCCGCGCCAGTCTCCTCTTCACGGACGCATTAAAGCATTATTTGGAGAGCGAGACAGAGAGCGGGCCCATTTGTGCGAGCTTTTGTTTTCGGCCCAAGTTTGCGATTGGCGGTTAGGCTGCTTTCAGCCGTGACAGCCATTTAGCTAATGAATTATCGCTGAGGCAGACGGAATAATAAGACATTGGAGACGCTGGAATGCGGTGGGAGGGCCATTCATTTTCAAAAACGTTTGTTTTGGCCGCCACAGATATGAGATATACACTAATTTGCATACAAATGAATAAATAATTTTTATTTTTATATTAATCGAACATTTTTTTTTAATTAAAATTTATTATCTGTTTCAGACACTCTGGAAGCGCCGCGCATCGCACGTTTCTCTGGCCAGAGCTTCTTGGCCTTTCCCGCCCTGAGGGGGGCCTACAAAGATGTGCAGGTGACTCTGGAGTTCAAACCTGAGACCACCGACGGCGTCCTCCTGCTGGCCGCCGAGAGGGACGACATGGCCGGTGACTTTCTGGCTCTCGTGCTCGTCGACTCTTTCCTTGAATTCAGGTAATTTGCATCAATTATCTGGAGCTCTGTGTTCTTTCAAAATCACTATTGCAGAATTAGAAATAGATATTAGGCAACTCGCACGACATATATGCTAAACAGGTTGCGTTTTGAGGATGCGTTATTAGAGGAACAATAAGATGAATTTATAAATTATTGCTGAAAAACAGAGCCGTTTCTTACCAAAATAATAAAATTCATAATTTTTTTCATAGAAAATTGGAAATAAAATTTTTATTTCTTGCTGCAATAATTTGTAAAATCGAAACAATTTGACATTTCACGCAGATTTGACTGTGGGTCCGGGGAAGGCGGCGTTCGATCGCCCGAGCCAGTGCTGCTCAACCAGTGGAACAAACTGACGCTCTACAGGCACAGGTGGGACGCGTGGCTGCAGCTGAACGGCGGAAAACACGTCCAGGGAAGATCAAAGGTGACTGCCCACGTTTTGTGCCTGTTAAAAATACATGAATGTGATGCACACTTTTATTCGGGGCTCTCCCTCTTAGCAGCCTGGAGGCCCCTATACTTTTCCACCTGAAATGACACACGAGCCAACTAACGTTTGAACTCGCGCAGGGTCTGTTTTCACGCATCACTTTCCGCGAGCCGCTCTTCGTGGGCGGGCCTGGCAACACGACCGGGCTGGCGGCCAAACTGGGTGCCTCGGAGGGCTTCAGGGGCTGCATAAGACACCTGGAGCTCAACGACCATGTCTATGGGTTCGGACTCGCGCCCCTCGGCGACGCATCACAAGGATTTGATATTGGTGAGTGCATAATCTATTAAATAATTTTAATAATTTTATTTAGTATCAATTTTATCTAGTTTCTTTTTTAAATTGAATTTTTAACCATAATTAAATCGCATTTTAATATATTTTATTCATTTATTACGAAATTAAATTGGTTTTTACAATAAAAATTTAAATTAATTTACATCTGTTTTTAAACAATGTTCATTGAGATTTTTGTAGATATAAATTCTTAATAGTTCATAAAATAATAGAAAGTAATTTATTAGAAATTAATAAAAAATTATTGCTGTAGGCTCTAAAAATATCTGTCAAAATTTGACAATAATAAAGATATGATGATTTTAATAAGTTTTTTTTAGCTAAATATAAATCAATTACTGTGTAATATTAATATTTATTACATAAAATTTTTCATTGAGCAATGAAAATACAGAAAACTTCCAAGAACTCAATATCGTTTGGCACTATTAACCCTAGTCACTGGTTTGGAAAATTGCTACGAAATAGAGCAAGAAGGTATCAATTTGAAATCTGCTTCTTCCAGAATGAGCTTCTATTGCTCATCCTCAATGTGCTTCTTTGCAATTTCCACGCGAATGAAATTCATCCTTCCCATAACATGTAAATATGCAAACCCATCTGCCCTCGAATCCATATTGACATGCATGAAGTCGGCGCACGTTTGATTTCATCTGCTCACAGCAGAATAATTCAAATGGAAGGTGAGAATCGCGGCAGGTGCTCGCCGTCGGCACAGATAGCGCGAGGGAGGCAACGGGGCGCCAATATTCATATAGCTGGGCGCCATTCCTGCCAACGTATTGAATTCGCAAGTGGGTCTTAAATCGCTCTCGACGCGCAAAACACACGGCCTGCCATTGTGAGTCGATGGATGATGAATGTGCGAGCAGATTTATAGAAAAAAAGTTTGCTTTTTGCAAGCATTGAATATTGTCAAGTACATTGTTTTAACGATCCATTATTTGTTTTGCGATTCCTGGTTGCCTAGGAAATCGTCAAGTATCAATTTAATGACGCAATTTTACTTATAAAAATAGAGAAACATGGCGCTTAAATATTGAATAATTTTTTACTTCCATAATGTTTGTAAATGCTTTCTTGTATTTAAACACTCACGTCACACCTACTAAATTCTGCAGGATCCAACAAATACAAAATTGCATCTGTGCTCAAAGTAATTAATAACAATATTTAAAGCTATACAAAAAAAAATAAAAATAAAAATAAATTAAAAACTTCATTATGCTGACTCAAAAGTGTCATTCTTACTTAGTAAAAAGTTGTATAAAACTATTATTTTTAATTAAATAATGTTGAAAATTATAAAAATGTCAAAAAAGATTTAATATTATGATAAATAAAATAAACATTTATTTTATTCTGCGATAGTAAAAAATTTAATTTTAAATTTATTTGTATTATCCTTTTTACAAAAGCTGACGTGAATGATAACAAACTTTAAGGATTAGATCAATGTGCTGTAAGTTCTTAAGCAATCATGATTAATGATTTTTAACAATAATCAGTGTTGTCAACTTTAATTAAAACTTGATTCTATAAATTCATTGCAAACTTTGCAATTAATTTAAACGAGTTGAATTGAACGTTGAAAGGAAATCCTCGAGGGTTGCGAGCGACGAGTATTTTCTCTTCGCACAATAATCATGGTCGTCACCAGAGTGCCTTTCTGATGATGACGATGTCCTCATGTATAATAAGATCTCCAGAGAGCGCCGAGGCAATTTCACTCGCAGTCGTCGTCGTCGGTCGTTAATACGCACGTTGAACGTTCCATTCTATTTCTGCCGCGAGCGATGGCGATGGGAGACGCATTAAAATAATCACGCGCCACATTCGCCGAGAGGCAAAACTCGCTTTGACTCTCTTTAATGCAGGCCTGGTTGGATGGATTTATTTGGCTCATCGCGATAACACGCAGCCGAGCCCAATATTCTCGAGAGGATTTGCCAATCTGAGAGTGACTCTCGCGCCAAGTGCCCCCGCCGACGTCTGAGCTGACAATCCTCCCAAGGATATACATTGCCGTTGATTCCTCTCCAGACGCTCTTTACCATGTGTTAAAAGATTTTTCGCAATATAAACTCACAATCAGTCGGAAAAAGCTGCACAAACTTTTAGAACAATCTAAATGGTTGGTGAATAGAGCTAAAAATTGCCTTCTTGGAAGACTTCTTTTATTTTAAGATTGATTTCTTTCTGAATATAATTATTATTATTTATTCTTATATAAAAAAAATTAGCGCTTTTTTTTAAAAAAGAGTTGAATTTTTTTAATTTCCTTGTTTTGCATGAGACATTAAAACGGAAAATAATAATTATTAATTAAAAATAGCTTTTTCTGGTGATATAAATTAGACGAACGGTTAAAATATTTCAAAAAATTTATGTGAGCCTTGTATTTTAATTATATTTACTTTTTTTTATTAAATTGTCCAACGGGAATAGTTTGAGTCGACTCACAGGTGCTTACGTTTGTAATTTGCCACTGGCAGCTCTATTTAGGGCGGCCCTCTCGTATTTCAGGCCAGATGGAAAAGGAGGCGAGAGAACGCCGGTTTTAATTTCGCGTTGTGTCCTCGAGTGGCTCGAGTAATTAACGCCTTTGGCTGCGGCCCCGTGTCTGTCCTGTGCGTCTACGGCCTCACATATTTTAACCATTTTGAGGCACCGCGCGCGCTCTCTAATGAAGCCTCGTCGCGCACCAAAACCCAGCCAGAATCGGGCCGTTTTTTTCAGCAACGCAGCTAATTCGTCGCCACTTTTCCGTTTTCTCCAGAGGAGTGAAGGTGGATTAATTTGTGGAAAAAAGTGGTTCAGATTTCTTCTTTTTGTGATGTAAACGGTCGGCGTCTTCAGCGTTGCAATTTCAATTTGAATATTTTTGCATAATCGTGCAGGAAGTTATAGAATTATACAATTAAGGGCGCGTTTTTTTTTTTAGAATTGAAAAATTTTATCCACTGGTTTATTTCTCCAGTTTGATTTTGTATTATGAATTTATTGTATTGAGGGATTTTTATTTGGTTGTTTTCCTGGGATCGAATTGCTTTGAACGTGGAAGAGAAAATACAAATCAGACTAAATTATATCAACCAATAATTCACACAATGTTAATTTAAATTATTTAATTGCTGATTTTCTCATTGAAATATATTTAATTTAATTCTCCACTTTTTTGGTACATTTATTGCAGATTTAAAAACGTTTTTCTTTGTTGCAGAGGAGTGCAGTTCGGACGCGTGCAGTCGTTTGACTTGTCAACACGGCGGCAAATGCGTTTCCACGGGCGAAATAATTGCGACCTCTTCATTGGGTGCAACTGCTGTGGACGCGTCCTGCCTTTGTCCGCTTGGCTATACAGGCACCTACTGCGAACAGCGACTTGAACTACAAGTGAGTGTTTTATTTTATAATTTATATTGTTAAACATTGTTAAAATGAATTATCATCTCTAATAACAATCTCATTAATGAAAACGTGTACATTTTCAATTATCCAACTTAAAAAATCGCCTTTTTCTTTTGGTATAGCTCAGAATTTGAAAATAATACAGTATAAAATTTTATATTTGAGAAATAATTATTATACGAAAAATTTTGCGCATTATAAGTAAATTAAAAATTCATATTTCACAAAATAATGCTTTTTACATATTTGCTTTCGTTAAATTTTGTTTGAATCATTAAACTGCAATAATAAAAAAATATTTTATTCCAGTTAATTATTTTCAATCAGCATTTGTACTCCAACCACCATGAGTCTTAAAAGCATGAGTGGAAGTGACTTAAAATTTGGCGGTTTTTATTTCTTAATCGGTACAGTTGAAAAAATTATGTAGAAAAACAGTCCAATCTCCAATTGGTAGAGTCCTGCACACTGCTTATGTTCTTCAGGGAGAGCTACTTTTATCTCTCTTCCGAAGTTTCCATTGTTTGGAACAAACAGCATAGATAGCTGAGTAGAGAGGGTGTGCGGTTTTGTTTCGCAACCACAAAACGGGTCGAACGTAATCGAAAAAGTTGCACCGAAGACGGATTATCGCGGCAACTTGCTCATCTCTCCATAGAGATGATTTGCTTAGGAAATGGGTAAAGCTAAAGCCTGCGCGTACTTAACTTATAACTTCTAAAGAGCAGAGCAAAGTCTGTCTGGCGAAAACCTTTTTGCACAATTTGGCTTACAAAGTTTTCTTGAATATTGCTTAGAAGAGGAGTTTACAGTGTTTATTATGGAATTTTATATGAAGGTTAAATGTACAATAAATTCAAAAAATTGATTTTTATTTAAATTGAAATTATTTACACTAACCATAAGTGCACTGCTATTAGTTCAAAACAGTGCAAAAGTATATAAGTCTGATTAACGCTGAATAAAATGAGAATAAATAAAATAAGAGTATTTAAAAATTTCTAGTTTCTTGAATTATTACATCTTCAAATTTTAATTATTATAAATCGTTATAATACAATTATTGGTAAAATATTCTGCAGGCCATATGATAATTGTGAATAAAAATAAAAATAATGTATCAATATTATTATTATTATTGTAATTTTTATAATAAAATAATTTCTAGTATTCTACAATTACTGGATATTATGAAATTTATTGCAAAAGTCCCACATTGAAAGCGTTTTTAATTCAATTAAAACTTTTTTGCAGGTGCCATCTTTTAACGGCTCCAGTTTCCTGCGTTACGAAGGTTTGGGCAGCAGCGCCCTTTCCTGGCTGGAAATCCGGCTGGTCTTCAAGCCGGAATCGGCCGACGGCCTGCTGTTGTACAACGGCGGCCGCGCCGACGGCGTCGGCGACTTCGCGTCCCTGGCCCTCGTGGGCGGCCACCTCGAGTTCACCTTTGACCTGGGCACCGGTCCGGCCACAGTGAGGCAAGTGTTGCGTTTTTTGCACGCAGAAAAGGCGCAGATATATATTTAAAGTGGTGCCCTTAGGAGCAGGACTGTGGTTAGTCTTCACTCGTGGCACGAGGTGCTGGTCTCGAGAACCGGCCGCTCCGCCTGGCTCCAATTAGACACGCAGCCACCGAGTCACGCTTCTTCCCCCGGGGCCTTCACTCAACTCATGTTGGCGCAGAGCTTGTACGTCGGCGGCGTCCCCAGTCTCGAGATTGTTTCGCCCAAAGCCAAGGCCAGATCCTCATTTGTCGGCTGCATTCAAAAGGTTTGCTTTGAATTAAACAAGATAAAGAGAATTCAAAATTAGATACTTATTTGCATATTTTGAACGTCATAAATTGTTATTTATTTATTAAATTATATTTTATAGGTGGAAAGTAAATTGAACGACCACTTTTTTCATTAAATTGTGTGTTAGTTTCATATTTCTTATGTAAAAAAAACACATAAAACTTTATTTTAATCCCAAATGCAAATTTATTATTGTTGTTTATTTGCCCAAATTGTTGGAATATCACATTTTTTATTAAACTGCTATTCATAAACAGCAGAAGGAGCCCTTTTTTTTATAAAGTTTATGGAAATTTGTTCTCATTTCTAGTTGGAAATCAACTCGAGGCCTATTAGACTCCTCGCCTCGGCACTGTCCGGCATGAATGTGGTCAATTGTGCACATCCCTGCTCCACCAGGCCGTGCGCCAACGGTGGCCACTGCATTCCTGACCACGAGTTCTTCTACTGCGAATGCCCAAAAGGCTTCAAGGACGTCCACTGCGGCACTCCTGCAGGGAAAGTGGAAGAAATCGCCATCGAAACAACACTGAACGAGCCCATTCCGCAGTTCACTGGCCACTCGTACTTGCACTTCACTGACCAGGAGACAATTAAAAGGTTTTAATATTTTTCTTTTAAAATTATTATCATTTAAAATTATTAAAATTTATTTAGGATTGTCAGCAACAAGCTGAACATCAACATCAGGTTCAGGACGCAATCGTCGGGAGGTCTGCTGTTGTGGTCAGGTCGGAGGAGTGAATCCAGCGGAGGGGACAGTCTGGCCCTCGGAGTCAGGGCTGGGATGCTCGAACTGCGCTACAACCTGGGAAGTGGGGAAGTGCTGCTTGTGTACAACTTCTCGAGGGTGGATGACGGTCTCTGGCACAGGGTCAAAGCCCTAAGGTTAGTTTTAATAATCTTGATAAACATTTAAGAATATGATTTTCATCTCTAAATTGCGTTCAGTGCTTAACAAATATTAAAACAAAAAATTACTAATTTCAGAAATGAACAGGAGGGTGCTTTGATTGTTGACAATGGGCCAATGGTCACTCAGAGATCACCAGGACGGCTCCGGCAACTTAATACTGACACTGGACTTTACATAGGTAATTATTAAAAATATTTTATGTTTTTTATTATTTATTATTCCAATTTTTATTTCTCATTAATAGAAATTCAAAAAGAAAAACGGGACTTTAATAGCAAAATAAATAAATTGCACTTTCTCGTCTTAATTTGTGTGAAATTAAACTTGAAACAATACAATATTATAAAAAAATCACCTGCTTTTTTAATTATTTAAATTTTAACAAAATGCAACCTGCCTGACATTCTTGTGTAGATGTTGCATAAGTCTCACTTTTCAAGGCGTTTCTTGGAAACATTGGATAAATTTATGTTAATTAATTTGCAAATATTATTTACCTTGATAACTAAGAAAACTGCAAATTTTCAAAGGTGGTGTCGAGGAGCCGTCACGGCTACCAGCGAGCCAGTCGTGGCCAGGATTTGTGGGATGCGTGTCCGACTTCACGTTGGACGGCGACTATCACGTGCCGTTGGTGCACGGCGCCGCGTCTGGCCGAAATATTGAGCACTGCGAGTAGGCGACCGACAGCTTTGTCAGCACCACTCACGCCTTCATGAACTGTTCACGTCGTCGGCTATGTTAAATATATCATTACAAGTATAATTAGCTCAGGAGCTTATACAACTTGCGAGACACACACACACAAACACACGTTCACCAAAATTAGTGACGATTTTGCGATTAGGGAAAGTTGCTGGAATATGATTAGGCGTGACTCTCGGTTTTAGAAGAAGAAGAAAATGTTTCACACAGACACACACACTCTTCCACACAAGAAACACGCGCACTCTAAGTAAAAAGAACAAAAAAAGTGCACTCGTCGTTGATTTTGATGTAATGAACCTTTTTAAGTTATAGGCAAGGAAAGGAGCTGAATGTTGTGAATTAATTAGAAAATGCATTTTAAGGCATGCCAGCAGCTCTTTTCCTTTCAAAACTACAGTCAATTCGAGCTTGATGGAAATTCCAAAGAAAAATATTAATAGTGTATAAAGGATTATCCACGTTGGGCTCATTTTTTTCAAAACAAATTCAGTTGTTTTTTCTAACAAAAAAGGAAGAGAAATAACACACTGAGCAAATTGGCCTAAAAGTTTTTGTTTCTTCAAGCGAAGCATTTTATTTATGGTGCATTTTAATTGTTTCTAGTACAAACAAATCACGTTTACTTTTCTCAGATACATATTTGCGCTTTCCTCATTATTTATATTCCATACAGATTCATGTGCAGGAAAAAAATGCTTATTTACGAAATACACAAAGGCTAAAGGAATTTTCAGGTTTTTGCATTTTCAACAGAGATATGACAATTAGTGACACGTGACGATTTTGAGTAATTTAGCAGCGACTTTGTACAATAATTCAAAACGTCCTTTTTGAAGAGAAGTGGATCGAGCGCGATTTAGTTCGTAGGAGTGTGCTTTTGTCAAGGTATCTCATCGTCAGATATTATATCAAACTAGTGGAAACTAAGAAATGGACCGCCGCAGTGTCGAATGAAAACCAAGAGAGCAAAAATTGTGCGTACATGCTGCTTTTTTGTTGCATAGAATATTGAGCTATAACAAGTTGCAGGAATTCCCTCGCGTCTGTGACTTTCCGTAAAACTAAATTTCAGGAAGAAAAAAAAGAGGCAAAGACGCGTGAGAGTATAAAAATTAAATTAAAAACCTTAAATGTATTGCACTATTCTCGATAATGGACTGAATTAGTAGGTACAAAAATTGGCAAAGGTATCAATTTGAAATTTCATAGCAATTGAAGATAAAACGAAAGTGAATTTGCTGACTTTGAACTTTATTTCTGGATGAATATTTGTTTACAAAAGTTTCCCCAGTATATTAAACCTGAGATAGCCTCTTTCAATGAATAAATGTATACCAAAAAAAAAAGGAATTTATCAAGCAAGACCACTGTTCATTACACCCGACCTATAATCAAATCATGTATCACACACTTATCAGATAATATATTATTAAAGGCGAATTCTGTTGTATATGTTGGAAAAAATAATGAGTTAAAGATTGTGTAAATATTTATTAATAGAAAAATTATAAACAGCGTAATAGGAAAGATGAGTGAAAGAGCATGTAATGAAAGAGTGAAAGAGTGAAAGTTGAAATAAATATTATGTAATAAAATCATAGAGTGTATGTACGCATTTTGTGCTTGGAAAAACATATCATTTTGGCGAAGAGCGGGAAATTATCACTCTGTATTATGTGACTGCCTGCGTGAGAAAATATTACGATGAATAAATAATAAGTTCGCGCTTTGCTGCAGTTTTCTCGATTGGGGCTCGGTAGAAAAATCTGTGCGTCTTGGGACCAGACAAATTACGGCAACAGAGACGAGCAATAAAACACGTAAAAATTATTGCTGAGTTTTAAAAACGGAAATTAATAAACGAGCCCCAAATTGCAGAGTTGGCGGGAACGGAATCGGTTAATTGTGAGAATTTTCGAAGAAAAAAATCTGAAATTTAAAAAAAAAACTGATTTCAAATCTTGGCGGAAGTGTGAGAACATACGAAATTCCTACAAAGTGAACTTTTCTCTGGAAACATACAAGAGCAATTTTCAGAAAGCATATCAGCACACAGTTTTTATGATCTCTCTTTTTGCATCAGGCAAATTTTCCGAAAACTGTGCAAAAAATATGCGCATCACTTGTAAACGGAAAGAGATTTTGAACTGTATAAATTGAATACCAAAATTTGGTGCAGAATTTTTCAGAAATGGAATGAATAAAAATATGTTATTCAGCAACAAAAACCTGTAAAAAAGTAATACATTTTTATGTACGTCAAAATATAGATCTCACACAGTCTCACATTATTTATGACAAGTCAAATGTTTTTATTTTTAAAGCAGGCGCAAGAACACACTGCTCTCTGGTAAATTATATAAAAATGCTCTCTCTGCCTTAAATATATCAACTGTTGTGTCTCATTATTTATTGCCATAAACTTTTCAAATGGTGTGTAAAAAATGAGCATTGAAGTAAAAAAAAATCATCAACTCCGTGAAATTCACTCTGTTTTGACCGAGACGTAGCTGTTGTAAAATGACATTATTTATTTTCTTCAATACACTGAGATGAAAGAAAAAAACATGTATAAAAAAAACCCACCCACAGTCTAGCTCGTGAAAATGAACTTTTTTTGTTTGGCTCCACCTCCACCTTTAACTAAATCGAACTATATGTAGATTTTAACAACACAAAATTGTACTGTTTACGCACTGAAGGGGCATAAAACAGGCAACTGTATAATAATTATTGATTACAATCCATTGTCAGTGCAGGTGTATTTAGTTTATGGAATAACTATTAATGTACTTTCTTTTTATATTTTTTATGGCATGAGCATAATTATATATTCTTGGAAAAATATCAACTTTTTTCTGGGATTTGTTTTGAAATGATGTGTATCTAAATTACAACATAACTGTTTGCCACTTTTACTTTCGTGTACATTGTGGAGTGAGCTAAATGTAATAAATTTTTATACACAAAATAATGATTGTTTTTGTATTGACTCTTTTTTAAACTCACTTTCGCACATATAATAATTAATAAAGATGAATTTTTAAAACAATTCGAGAGATAACTTTTGACGATATTAACAATGGCAAGAGATTTTTTTTTAAATTAACAATTTCAACTAGTAAATAATTTGTATAAAAATTTGAATTCAATTTTTGTTAATTTTTTGCAAATTTTATATTTTGCGTGTTAAAATGTGTATCTCGCTCTTTGCTTCCTCCCAGGACGCCTAATTAAGTTTAACCCATTAATTCAAACTCTTTGTTGACCGGAGAGGTGTCGCGCCTATTCATCCTCGAACCTCCACAATGTCCAGTGGGGGCTATTTATAGTTGAGGTTGGCGACCTTTTAGTACGGAATTATTTCAAACCCAGAATAAGATGGAAATGCCCTCAAGGTGTACCGAAATTTAGTCAGGACTGGCTCAGCAGCTGCTAGTGGACAGGGAGTGCCTTGTTAGAAAGCCTGAAAGAAGCATATATTTTATTTTTTAAATTGCAAATAAATAGCAAAGAACGAGATGAGTTTAATTTTTTGCTATATTTGGTCGACTAAAACCAAACAGTCAAAGATTTTACAAAAATCGCAAATAAATAGCAAACTACGAGACGAGTTTAATTTTTTGCTATAATTTTCACTGTGGTTGCTATATTTGGAAGACTAAAATCAAAGAGTCAAAGATTATAAAAAAATCGCAAATAAATAGCAAACTACGAGACGAGTTTAATTTTTTGCTATATTTTTCACTGTGGTTGCTATATTTGGAAGACTAAAATCAAAGAGTCAAAGATTATAAAAAAATCGCAAATAAATAGCAAACTACGAGACGAGTTTAATTTTTTGCTATATTTTTCACTGTGGTTGCTATATTTGGAAGACTAAAATCAAAGAGTCAAAGATTATAAAAAAATCGCAAATAAATAGCAAACTACGAGACGAGTTTAATTTTTTGCTATAATTTTCACTGTGGTTGCTATATTTGGAAGACTAAAATCAAAGAGTCAAAGATTATAAAAAAATCGCAAATAAATAGCAAACTACGAGACGAGTTTAATTTTTTGCTATATTTTTCACTGTGGTTGCTATATTTGGAAGACTAAAATCAAAGTGTCAAAGATTTTACAAAAATCGCAAATAAATAGCAAACTACGAGACGAGTTTAATTTTTTGCTATATTTTTCACTGTGGTTGCTATATTTGGAAGACTAAAATCAAACAGTCAAAGATTTTACAAAAATCGCAAATAAATAGCAAACTACGAGACGAGTTTAATTTTTTGCTATATTTTTCACTGTGGTTGCTATATTTGGAAGACTAAAATCAAACAGTCAAAGATTTTACAAAAATCGCAAATAAATAGCAAACTACGAGACGAGTTTAATTTTTTGCTATATTTTTCACTGTGGTTGCTATATTTGGAAGACTAAAATCAAACAGTCAAAGATTTTACAAAAATCGCAAATAAATAGCAAACTACGAGACGAGTTTAATTTTTTGCTATATTTTTCACTGTGGTTGCTATATTTGGAAGACTAAAATCAAACAGTCAAAGATTTTACAAAAATCGCAAATAAATAGCAAACTACGAGACGAGTTTAATTTTTTGCTATATTTGGAAGACTAAAACCAAACAGTCGAAGATTTTACAAAAATCGCAAATAAATAGCAAACTACGAGACGAGTTTAATTTTTTGCTATATTTTTCACTGTGGTTGCTATATTTGGAAGACTAAAATCAAACAGTCAAAGATTTTACAAAAATCGCAAATAAATAGCAAACTACGAGACGAGTTTAATTTTTTGCTATATTTGGAAGACTAAAACCAAACAGTCAAAGATTTTACAAAAATCGCAAATAAATAGCAAACTACGAGACGAGTTTAATTTTTTGCTATATTTTTCACTGTGGTTGCTATATTTGGAAGACTAAAACCAAACAGTCGAAGATTTTACAAAAATCGCAAATAAATAGCAAACTACGAGACGAGTTTAATTTTTTGCTATATTTGGAAGACTAAAACCAAACAGTCAAAGATTTTACAAAAATCGCAAATAAATAGCAAACTACGAGACGAGTTTAATTTTTTGCTATATTTTTCACTGTGGTTGCTATATTTGGAAGACTAAAACCAAACAGTCGAAGATTTAACAAAAATCGCAAATAAATAGCAAACTACGAGACGAGTTTAATTTTTTGCTATATTTGGAAGACTAAAACCAAACAGTCAAAGATTTTACAAAAATCGCAAATAAATAGCAAACTACGAGACGAGTTTAATTTTTTGCTATATTTGGAAGACTAAAACCAAACAGTCAAAGATTTTACAAAAATCGCAAATAAATAGCAAACTACGAGACGAGTTTAATTTTTTGCTATATTTTTCACTGTGGTTGCTATATTTGGTCGACTAAAACCAAACAGTCGAAGATTTTACAAAAATCGCAAATAAATAGCAAACTACGAGACGAGTTTAATTTTTTGCTATATTTGGTCGACTAAAACCAAACAGTCAAAGATTTTACAAAAATCGCAAATAAATAGCAAACTACGAGACGAGTTTAATTTTTTGCTATAATTTTCACTGTGGTTGCTATATTTGGAAGACTAAAATCAAAGAGTCGAAGATTATAAAAAAATCGCAAATAAATAGCAAACTACGAGACGAGTTTAATTTTTTGCTATAATTTTCACTGTGGTTGCTATATTTGGAAGACTAAAATCAAAGAGTCGAAGTTTTTACAAAAATCGCAAATAAATAGCAAACTACGAGACGAGTTTTATTTTTTGCAATATTTGGTCGACTAAAATCAAAGAGTCGAAGATTATAAAAAAATCGCAAATAAATAGCAAACTACGAGACGAGTTTAATTTTTTGCTATAATTTTCACTGTGGTTGCTATATTTGGAAGACTAAAATCAAAGAGTCGAAGTTTTTACAAAAATCGCAAATAAATAGCAAACTACGAGACGAGTTTTATTTTTTGCAATATTTGGTCGACTAAAATCAAAGAGTCGAAGATTATAAAAAAATCGCAAATAAATAGCAAACTACGAGACGAGTTTAATTTTTTGCTATATTTGGTCGACTAAAACCAAACAGTCAAATATTTTACAAAAATCGCAAATAAATAGCAAACTACGAGACGAGTTTAATTTTTTGCTATAATTTTCACTGTGGTTGCTATATTTGGAAGACTAAAATCAAAGAGTCGAAGATTATAAAAAAATCGCAAATAAATAGCAAACTACGAGACGAGTTTAATTTTTTGCTATAATTTTCACTGTGGTTGCTATATTTGGAAGACTAAAATCAAAGAGTCGAAGATTATAAAAAAATCGCAAATAAATAGCAAACTACGAGACGAGTTTAATTTTTTGCTATATTTGGTCGACTAAAACCAAACAGTCAAATATTTTACAAAAATCGCAAATAAATAGCAAACTACGAGACGAGTTTAATTTTTTGCTATAATTTTCACTGTGGTTGCTATATTTGGAAGACTAAAATCAAAGAGTCGAAGATTATAAAAAAATCGCAAATAAATAGCAAACTACGAGACGAGTTTAATTTTTTGCTATATTTGGTCGACTAAAACCAAACAGTCAAATATTTTACAAAAATCGCAAATAAATAGCAAACTACGAGACGAGTTTAATTTTTTGCTATAATTTTCACTGTGGTTGCTATATTTGGCAGACTAAAATCAAAGAGTCGAAGATTATAAAAAAATCGCAAATAAATAGCAAACTACGAGACGAGTTTAATTTTTTGCTATATTTGGTCGACTAAAACCAAACAGTCAAATATTTTACAAAAATCGCAAATAAATAGCAAACTACGAGACGAGTTTAATTTTTTGCTATAATTTTCACTGTGGTTGCTATATTTGGAAGACTAAAATCAAAGAGTCGAAGATTATAAAAAAATCGCAAATAAATAGCAAACTACGAGACGAGTTTAATTTTTTGCTATATTTGGTCGACTAAAACCAAACAGTCAAATATTTTACAAAAATCGCAAATAAATAGCAAACTACGAGACGAGTTTAATTTTTTGCTATAATTTTCACTGTGGTTGCTATATTTGGCAGACTAAAATCAAAGAGTCGAAGATTATAAAAAAATCGCAAATAAATAGCAAACTACGAGACGAGTTTAATTTTTTGCTATATTTGGTCGACTAAAACCAAACAGTCAAATATTTTACAAAAATCGCAAATAAATAGCAAACTACGAGACGAGTTTAATTTTTTGCTATAATTTTCACTGTGGTTGCTATATTTGGCAGACTAAAATCAAAGAGTCGAAGATTATAAAAAAATCGCAAATAAATAGCAAACTACGAGACGAGTTTAATTTTTTGCTATAATTTTCACTGTGGTTGCTATATTTGGAAGACTAAAATCAAAGAGTCGAAGTTTTTACAAAAATCGCAAATAAATAGCAAACTACGAGACGAGTTTAATTTTTTGCTATATTTTTCACTGTGGTTTCTATATTTGGAAGACTAAAACCAAACAGTCAAAGATTTTACAAAAATCGCAAATAAATAGCAAACTACGAGACGAGTTAAATTTTTTGCTATCTTTTTCACTGTGGTTGCTATATTTGGAAGACTAAAATCAAAGAGTCGAAGATTATAAACAAATCGCAAATAAATAGCAAACTACGAGACGAGTTTAATTTTTTGCTATATTTGGTCGACTAAAACCAAACAGTCAAATATTTTACAAAAATCGCAAATAAATAGCAAACTACGAGACGAGTTTAATTTTTTGCTATAATTTTCACTGTGGTTGCTATATTTGGAAGACTAAAATCAAAGAGTCGAAGATTATAAAAAAATCGCAAATAAATAGCAAACTACGAGACGAGTTTAATTTTTTGCTATAATTTTCACTGTGGTTGCTATATTTGGAAGACTAAAATCAAAGAGTCGAAGTTTTTACAAAAATCGCAAATAAATAGCAAACTACGAGACGAGTTTTATTTTTTGCTATAATTTTCACTGTGGTTGCTATATTTGGAAGACTAAAATCAAAGAGTCGAAGTTTTTACAAAAATCGCAAATAAATAGCAAACTACGAGACGAGTTTTATTTTTTGCAATATTTGGTCGACTAAAATCAAAGAGTCGAAGATTATAAAAAAATCGCAAATAAATAGCAAACTACGAGACGAGTTTAATTTTTTGCTATAATTTTCACTGTGGTTGCTATATTTGGAAGACTAAAATCAAAGAGTCGAAGTTTTTACAAAAATCGCAAATAAATAGCAAACTACGAGACGAGTTTTATTTTTTGCAATATTTGGTCGACTAAAATCAAAGAGTCGAAGATTATAAAAAAATCGCAAATAAATAGCAAACTACGAGACGAGTTTAATTTTTTGCTATATTTGGTCGACTAAAACCAAACAGTCAAATATTTTACAAAAATCGCAAATAAATAGCAAACTACGAGACGAGTTTAATTTTTTGCTATAATTTTCACTGTGGTTGCTATATTTGGAAGACTAAAATCAAAGAGTCGAAGATTATAAAAAAATCGCAAATAAATAGCAAACTACGAGACGAGTTTAATTTTTTGCTATAATTTTCACTGTGGTTGCTATATTTGGAAGACTAAAATCAAAGAGTCGAAGATTATAAAAAAATCGCAAATAAATAGCAAACTACGAGACAAGTTTAATTTTTTGCTATAATTTTCACTGTGGTTGCTATATTTGGAAGACTAAAATCAAAGAGTCGAAGATTATAAAAAAATCGCAAATAAATAGCAAACTACGAGACGAGTTTAATTTTTTGCTATATTTGGTCGACTAAAACCAAACAGTCAAATATTTTACAAAAATCGCAAATAAATAGCAAACTACGAGACGAGTTTAATTTTTTGCTATATTTGGTCGACTAAAACCAAACAGTCAAATATTTTACAAAAATCGCAAATAAATAGCAAACTACGAGACGAGTTTAATTTTTTGCTATAATTTTCACTGTGGTTGCTATATTTGGCAGACTAAAATCAAAGAGTCGAAGATTATAAAAAAATCGCAAATAAATAGCAAACTACGAGACGAGTTTAATTTTTTGCTATATTTGGTCGACTAAAACCAAACAGTCAAATATTTTACAAAAATCGCAAATAAATAGCAAACTACGAGACGAGTTTAATTTTTTGCTATAATTTTCACTGTGGTTGCTATATTTGGAAGACTAAAATCAAAGAGTCGAAGATTATAAAAAAATCGCAAATAAATAGCAAACTACGAGACGAGTTTAATTTTTTGCTATATTTGGTCGACTAAAACCAAACAGTCAAATATTTTACAAAAATCGCAAATAAATAGCAAACTACGAGACGAGTTTAATTTTTTGCTATAATTTTCACTGTGGTTGCTATATTTGGCAGACTAAAATCAAAGAGTCGAAGATTATAAAAAAATCGCAAATAAATAGCAAACTACGAGACGAGTTTAATTTTTTGCTATATTTGGTCGACTAAAACCAAACAGTCAAAGATTTTACAAAAATCGCAAATAAATAGCAAACTACGAGACGAGTTTAATTTTTTGCTATAATTTTCACTGTGGTTGCTATATTTGGAAGACTAAAATCAAAGAGTCGAAGATTATAAAAAAATCGCAAATAAATAGCAAACTACGAGACGAGTTTAATTTTTTGCTATAATTTTCACTGTGGTTGCTATATTTGGAAGACTAAAATCAAAGAGTCGAAGTTTTTACAAAAATCGCAAATAAATAGCAAACTACGAGACGAGTTTTATTTTTTGCAATATTTGGTCGACTAAAATCAAAGAGTCGAAGATTATAAAAAAATCGCAAATAAATAGCAAACTACGAGACGAGTTTAATTTTTTGCTATAATTTTCACTGTGGTTTCTATATTTGGAAGACTAAAACCAAACAGTCAAAGATTTTACAAAAATCGCAAATAAATAGCAAACTACGAGACGAGTTAAATTTTTTGCTATCTTTTTCACTGTGGTTGCTATATTTGGAAGACTAAAATCAAACAGTCAAAGATTTTACAAAAATCGCAAATAAATAGCAAACTACGAGACGAGTTTAATTTTTTGCTATATTTTTCACTGTGGTTTCTATATTTGGAAGACTAAAACCAAACAGTCGAAGTTTTTACAAAAATCGCAAATAAATAGCAAACTACGAGACGAGTTTAATTTTTTGCTATATTTTTCACTGTGGTTTCTATATTTGGAAGACTAAAACCAAACAGTCAAAGATTTTACAAAAATCGCAAATAAATAGCAAACTACGAGACGAGTTAAATTTTTTGCTATCTTTTTCACTGTGGTTGCTATATTTGGAAGACTAAAATCAAACAGTCAAAGATTTTACAAAAATCGCAAATAAATAGCAAACTACGAGACGAGTTAAATTTTTTGCTATCTTTTTCACTGTGGTTGCTATATTTGGAAGACTAAAATCAAACAGTCAAAGATTTTACAAAAATCGCAAATAAATAGCAAACTACGAGACGAGTTTAATATTTTGCTATATTTGAGTCCAGTCGAAGTCGAATCTGGTCTGCGCAGGCCGCAGAGATAAGTATTGCCGTTTTACTTGAATCTCTCCTCTCTCCTTTCTAGCGCGAACAAATTTTCAACTCGCCGTCAGAGGGCAGCAAAAGACGTGGGGCTCCGGCTCCGGCTCTTTTCACTTTCATTTTCATTCAAGCCTTGTGTTTTTATTCTACAGCTGGAGCTGGTCTGAAGGAATCAAAACAAATTACTGAGAATGCGAATTTAAAGTGGAATTTTGCGAGAATTGTTGTCGGCTTTTGAATTATTTCCTAAAAATGTTCATTCGAATGAGATTTCCTGCTAGTCAAGCAGCTAAATTTTTTGCAACCAACAATAAGAGAGAGTACAATGGCATTCAAATGCGTTTTGCCTGCGCCGGCTCACAGGTATATAAACAAAATCACTGATTTTTATGTAAGCTTGGAAAATAATTGTTTACTTTTTAGAGTGTCGAAAAGCAATCACAGAAAATGGAGCCAAAGAAGGAAAACAAAATTCAATTTGACCCACAGCCTCCTAAGTATTTCAGTAAGAAAGCAAAAAATTAAAAGAAATTCAGTTGATTATTTACAAAAATATTCTCTGGGTTTTCAGAAGGTCGAGTGAGGCCTTGGGATACAAAATCTACGAATTTGTACCTCTGCCATCGAACCCACAACTGTGGAGAGCTGAGAAAAGAGGACGTTGGCCAGAAAGTGACACTTTCCGGATGGGTTCAGTTTCACCGAGTCAAGGCCCAATTTATGGTTTTGAGAGACGGCTATGGCAGCACACAGCTCATTTTTCCTGACAAGGTAGCAAATTTTAAATTAATTGTATAATGTTTTACTTAAAAATTTATAGAATATTAGGCCAAATTGGGATATTGAAAATATCTCGCTCGAATCGGTTGTTAAAATCAGTGGAACGGTTCTTAATAGACCTGATGGACAACAAAACTCGGTAAGATCAAGCAAACGATAATATTTCTCCAGCTTATTTGCATTAATTTAAGAACATGTCAACAGGAGATATTGAGGTTGCAGTTGAAGATTTTGATGTGTTGAGCGTTGCCAAAAAGGAATTGCCTATCACAGTCAGAGATCAAATCAAGGTAATCTGAAATTAAGCATCAGGAATAAATTGTCTAATTAAAACCCAGTTGACAGAACATCTGAGAATGACGTACAGATACATGGACTTGAGATTTCCTGAAATGCAATCAAGACTGAGGTTCCGATCTGAAATGATTTCGGAAATGAGGAAATTTCTCGGCGAAAAGTGTGGATTTGTCGAGGTTGAAACGCCAACTTTATTCAAAAGGACTCCTGGAGTGAGGCTTAAATTTGATTTATTTTGATAAGTTGTATAATTTTCATTTAGGGAGCCCAAGAATTTATTGTGCCTTCGAGAATGCCTGGAAAGTGCTACACTCTCGTCCAAAGCCCTCAGCAGTTTAAACAACTCTTGATGGTTGGCGGAATCGACAGATATTTCCAGGTTTAAAATAACACTTTTAATTACTTGCTGATTTATAAAAATTATTATTCAGGTGGCAAGGTGTTATCGTGACGAATCTGCACGACCAGATAGACAGTTGGAATTCACACAAGTGAGTTAATTTTATTTCTGTGCAAAGATATATTTTGTATGGTGTTTGTTATAAATGAATTATTAAAATTAATTTCATTTCTTGGGTGCAATTATGGCTTCGAGTTGAGTCTGCAAAGTGGAAAAAATGAATTAATTTCATTCTGATCTTCGCTCTGGCTGAATTCTGACCTTAAGTTGCTGATTCGCTTTTCTGTACGAGAGAACTTCCTCTCGGTGTTTTTTCTCCTCAGCGTCGTGTTTTTCCCTGAGTCTCTGCTGCGCTCGTTCGTTCCGAGCCTTCTCCTCAGTCAATTCCTGCTGCAGACCATTGATCTGCTCCTTGAGCTTGCCCACGGTTTCCTCCAAATCCTCCTGACCCTGAACCGACTGCAGAGACTTTCTTATTCCGAATGCGATTGCGCTCTCGTACAAATGCTCGTATGTGCTCAAGGTCATTTGCAATTCATTTCGCACCCGCGCCAGCAACAACCCTGCCTCGCTGCAGTTTAATGTCGTTTGACGAATCAGTTCATCTGATAGTTATGAAATTTTAATACAATTTAATTTTTAATATTTAGTTCGGTACCAAAGATTTGAGCGTAAAGCTCTCGTCTGACAGGACAAATTCCCGTTTCCCTGGCTTGTCTTTGACTTAATCTCATGTCAAATTCCTCTGCCAAATTTTGCACTTTTTCTCTAGTAGCTGGATTGGGCGAAACCTGTCAATAATTAATTCATTTAAATTATTCACTGCTATAATATAGTTCCTATAATTAAATATATACATTTCTAAAATATAATCTTTTAAATTAATTAATTATTTCTTTTTGTTATATCTTAACCTTTTGAATCCATATTTGCCCATCTTGTTCCCACTGTCGTGGAGGCAAAATTGCATGCAATATTTCAGCGTCAGAGCCTGCAGCTTCCTCGAGCTCTGCCACATTCCCTTTGAGCTGCGCATCATTATTTTATTTTTAATAATAATAATTTTTAGATAATTAAAAATATTACCAGCATCGGTATGTCATACTCAACCAAAGAATCGGCATTTTGCTTCCACTTGTCAACCATGGTGTGAAAGAAAATAAATTTAATAGCAAATAAGTTGATGCACTGGAGTGTTGTAAAATTGCTCCTTGTTTCTGCGGTTGCCATGGCACCAGACCCACGTGTCTATGCGACCAATCATACTCGCCCCTATTAACTTGGTGAATGCATTTCCACCCCTCAGCACTGTAATAAGAGCACTATGACGAAATATACAAAAATTAATTGAATGATCATTACAAGAGCAATTTTTTATTTTAAATAAGTTTTAATAAAGATTTAATTAAAAAATAGAAAATGATTTTAGTTGGACATTGAGCTGTCCTTCACAAATCAGCAAGGGGTCATGGCATTAGCTGAAGATCTGATTTCCCATTGTTGGCGCACAACGGTTGAACCTGACCTTTCCGAAGACAGGTTTCCTGTTCTCAAATACGAGGATGTACTTAATGATTATGGAACTGATAAACCAGACACTAGATTTGATATGAAGGTAATAAATCGAATTATATTTTTTTTTCAAATTTGTTGTAAAATGTGGACAATTTTCTTTCATCTAGATTCAAAACATTTCCGACGCATTAATATCTTTGTCGGACATTTGCTCGTCGCCTTTGAGGTCTTCACTGATTGAAGAGAGCAATGTTATTGGTGCAATAATTGTACCAAAAGGACAGGTTAGTTTTTTACATTGAAGTGATTATCTGTATATTAAAATTTAATCTTTTTTAAATTAAAGGAGGTGTGGGCCAGTAACAGCTCAATTAAAAAACTATGCACTGAGCAATTGCAGCATTTCACAAATCCACTCTGGCTTCGCGGCTTTCAAGTCCCAAACAACTCTAGTGATCCTTGGCCCAGCTTGGGTGAAAACAAGCAAGTAGGCGAAGCGATAAAATCCAAACTTGGTCACCTTTGCAATCCTGGAGATGTTGTCTGGCTAGCTGGAGGCCCTCGTTTTGAAGCGGTGCGTAAATTATATTCTTGTTTTATTTTTTCTTACTATGGGATATAAATTTTATTTATAATTTTTTTCTTGGTAAAACATTGTGCATCTGAATTTTTCACCAGCTGACGCTTTTGGGTCGTTTGAGAGTAATTGCCGCTGACGAGCTTGAGAAAGCCACAGGTGTCGCAGTGCGATGCCAAGGACCGAAATTCTTGTGGATTGTCGACTTTCCTCTTTTCGAACCGGGGGAGCAACCTGGGACTCTGAGCCCCACACACCACCCCTTCACTCAACCCCACCCTGATGATGCACACCTTATGTTCACTGACCCGTTAAAGGTATGCATTGGAAATTTATACTCCTGGATGTTTTAAGATTTTAAAAGTTTTCTTATTCTTATTAATTGTTTAATTTTTTTGGTTCAAATTCTAATTATTCAACATATTTATAACTGAATTCTTTGTTGTAGTTTTTATATTATAATTATTATTTTTCAAACATTTCTTTCTTTGAATATTTCTTATTAAAAAATTTTGGTGAACAGAGAAGGTAAAATTTTCATTATTAATTCAACATTCTCTAATTTTTTTCACTAGGGGGAATTTTATTGTGGACCCGTCTTAATTTTGGCACTTGTATTTTCCTTCCAACAATGGAAGAAAAAGTTAGATTACTTTAGTTGAACGCCATATTTTTCTCTTTCAAAGGTCAGGGGCCAACACTACGATCTTGTTCTTGACGGATGGGAAATTGCTGGTGGCTCCGTGCGGATCCATAATGCGGAGATGCAGCGCCGAGTGTTGGGGGATCTGCTCAAAATAAAGCCAGACTCGCTCCACCACATGCTGGAAGCTTTCGACAGTGGGTGTCCACCACACGCTGGAATTGCATTTGGTGAGCTAGAAAATTATTTTGTTAAAAAGAAAATAATTAAAAGTTAAAGCAGCAAAAATATTAAAATATAAATAATTTTGTTTGAAATAATCGATACTCGAGGAGATGATGGAGGAAAAGCCTGATCTCTGTCATAATTTGGTTTTTTGAAATCTGTTAACTTGTCCTTTTTTCCTATTAAATAAATGCCTTTTTCTAATCTCCCCATTTTGTGTTTTCTAATGTTTGAGTTATTAATGTAATTTTCCTTAAAAAAAATTTGCAGGGATTGACAGACTGATTGCCGTCGCCTGTGGTGCTCCAAGTATCCGCGACGTAATCGCTTTTCCGAAGGCCGCTGGTGGACGAGACCCGATGTCTGGCGCCCCTGTTGACGTGACTAAAGAGGATCAGATCCTGTATCACATAAATTGTCTACCCAAGGGTTCAAACAACTGTTGAATAAAAACAGTTATAATGATTTTTTACTTAAAACTGATGAAGTTTAAAATAATAACCTCGAAAAGGTTCACCGAGGAACATCAGGATAATTAATTTAAAGTTAATATTCAAATTTTGCATTATATATTTTCAGCTTATTTTTTTAAAATTATAATTCGGTAATTATTTTGACGCCGTATTAATGAGAGTTAATGATTAATGATGCAATCACCAAATTTTATCAGACTGCTTTCATTATACTAAATCATCAGTCGCAAGACTTTTGATTTGAGACAAAAACGTCGTTTTTGTCATTATCAAAGATGATTAGAGTTGCTTGATGTTATCGCTCTCGAGCGCAAACACGTAATTATTCGGAAAGAGATTAATTGGTATATAATATATACATATGTGTGCGAGTGGAGTGCAAAGAGTGACGTACTCGCTGAAAGAGTGAGACTGCTCTGGTGCTCCCTTTCTCGTACATGCATATATGGGTAGTGACGAGGCCCCGACGGCGGGGCGTAATAATCAATACACGCGATACTACAACGCGCGGAGCCCCGCATCATCAGACCGGAGCCGGCCTGGCTTGGTTTGTCCGTCCGTCGGGCCGCGCCGCAGCTCGCGGCTGATCCCGCGACAAAGAAAGAAATAAGACTTTTAACTCTCGGGGCCAACTGCCCTCACTCAACGCTCTACCCGTTGGCTTTTCTTCCTCGCTTTTTTATGTCTCCGCGATTTTCGCAGGGCTGACTTATTTTCGCGCGCCGGGACTGTGATGACGCACACACGCATTGCGCGCTCTCCCTCTAATTCCATTCACTTATATACGAACAGGGCAGCCCTTTGATTTCTATCGTTGGCTTTTGCACGTGTTAATCTCGTTTGCGAAAATTTTAAGAAACCAGTCAAAGAATGGGGCAGATGTAAAACAACATTTATTTGATCTCCATCGGCGCGCATAGCTCTTTTTGGTGCAGAAACTCGGCGCAGTGTATTGAAAATAATAACTAATTAATGCTGTAAAATTTGTTGGAAGGAAATTTTGTAATACGTGTCTTTAAAATATAATATGCAAATTAAACTATTTAAAATTTTTAAACCGGGCGAACCTCGTTGCAAAGAAAAAATGAAAAAAATAAAAGGACAACTGACCCCCAAAAGGTGACCTGCGGTCTGCGGCGGTACTTTAAAAACCAATTCAATTTCAATATAATTTTTGCATTAAATAAGCTAGCTGAGAAAACCACAGCATCCTTGTTTCTAAAAAATATTACATTTTACCACAACAACAAACTCGCAATCAGAGTCATTTAGAAATTTGGCCATAGAGAATTTTTATATATTTCAAGATTCCTGCCTTTTAGCCTGTGTCCTTTTTACATATTATTTCACAAAATATATATTTTTTATTATTGATTACTTTATTTTTTTGCATTGTTGATGGGGATGCATCATAAACGTAAACATATAATTATCTGATCGCGGTCTGCGATTGCACTTGCACTCCGTAGATGTAGATCAACAAGAACAAGAACCCCGCTGTTTTAAAAAAAATGCTGATAATTCGTTAATAGATTATCATTTTTATGCCCTCTCCTCATTAAAATAATATGATATTGGTATTGGAACAGAAGAAATAAAAAGACGTCTTCATTTCTTACAATTAGACTAAAATCGCCACTTCATTTTGACAAGCGCTTCATTTTAGTAAAAAATGTTGGAATCCAAGAAAAATCATTTACGACCGCTGAATATTGGTATTGGGTTGACTTATTATTCATAATGGAAACACTTTTTCCCAATATTAAGGACGATTAATCAAGCAACTCTCACAAAAGGCGATTTTATACAGTCATGCTTTTTTAATTCTAGGAAAAAAAAACTATGGTTTGGTTAAATGGTTAATTAAAATTGAGGAACCCTCATAATTCATGATATGTGAAAAATGATGCAATCTAAAAAAAATGCGCAGACCATGATGGTTTATATAATAATAATACAAAAATCTTGTATTGCGCGCATGAAAATTAAATTTCACTGTATAATATAATGTTTATTTTGCAGCGAGATTTACAGGCTTAGCTAACGTTTTTATGTTCTTAATCATCTTAAAAGTTATCATGAGAAAAACGTGAGATTTAATTGAGAAAGTGGAAAAATTGAAACGATATTGTGTTGTTATATTCAAACACCATTTTTTTTTTTTAATTAAGTAACAAACGCTAGTTTTGGGAAAGAAACTAAAAAGGTAAAAAACAATTATATTGATTTTCCGTTTTAAATTGAAATTTTTTTCTAAATCAAAGAGATCGCTTAGCGGGTAGTTCTAGCGCGTGTGCATGTTTTCAATGCAAAAGAGCACAACGCGCGGCGCACACACATATTTCCGCGTTGACATGACAAAAGATCGAGGCTCGGAGCCAGCCAGTCCTGTTAAAATTTGCGCCAGTGATGCTTCGGCCGCCTGTAGCCTTCACCGCCCAGTCCACTCAAACGAATCGATCCAGCGCTCGTGACGTCATCGTCAGAGATTTAATTTTTTTCAATGCGGGGGAGGTTTTGCGGCTGGATGTTTCATTTGTTTCAAGTTTTTTAATTCAAATTGAAAGAATTTTAATTTTTTTAAACAGGCCCCGGTCGTTTGAGGCGGAAAAGGGGCTTTTTTGGGGCCGAATTCTGCGAGGCCTTGGTGCGAGGCTAGCGTTAGTTGCAAATATTTACGGGCGGCGCTGGCGTCGCCCGTTTCCCTCCTCGGTCGTTTCGTGTCTTTTCGAGCTGATGTGTTGTGTGTGTTGCTGTACACATAAATGCAGGGGCTCGAGTGGCCGATAATGCAGTAGAAGCAACATGTAATTGGGTGGACACGGTGTCCAGCGGTCGTAGCGTCACAGGTCAGCGCAGACACGACCGGACACGCCCTTCGGACAGGTCTTTTTTCCGGGACATGCGGTGAGTTTCGAAAGGAAATCGAGCGAACGGGGTCGCGCGCGTGATTCACCCTCGCGCGCCCCCTCTGAGCCATTGGACGGCCGTGTGCGGAGGCGTCCGAACCTTTTTTCGGACGTGTCCGATCGGACGATGGATTCAGTTGTCCGAGAGAGTGGCACAGGTGTGTGCCAATCGAGGTCACGATCAAATTGGAAAGGCGGATTTTTATCCCCGCTTGAGAACGAAAGTTGGCTAATTTTTGTCTTCGGAATTTTTGAGAGTTGGGAGCTTGACCCTTTTTGAATCTTTTTGAAGCTGTATTGGCTGTGCTTGTCTTGATCCACACCCTTCGATTTGCAGATTGGTGACCTGACACAGACGACAAGGCACACCTTGCGTAGAGACGTGGACGACCTGCTTGTGTCGTGTCCCCTCGTCGATTTCTAGAAATAAACATTGAAGGTGATTTTTGTTTAAATTTTGCTCTATATTTTGAAAAAAGATATTTTTATTGCTATGGAATTATCTTGGTTAAGAATGATCTTATTATTGTTCAAGAATTGTTATCATTCTGCACTGATTCTGCAAAAATAGTATAATATTATTTATTTGTTGATGCAAAATATCAAAATAGTATTTAATATGGATTTAATTTTCAATAAAATATTGCATTTCATTGATTTAAAATTTCTTAATATAATTATATTATTTATTATTTTATTGTTTCCATTGAAAGATATTAAATTTATTTGTTTATTTCATCAAACGTCCAGCCAATTTCAGAAGAAATTTTCGGCTGGTGCTTTTCTGAAATTAATAAAAAAAAATCAAAATAAATTAATGCGATCATAAAAAAAATTCACTTAGTACTTTAATAGTTTTCATAACTATTGATAAAAGATTGATAAAAAAATTCGTATTTTTTATTTTGAGTAACCTTTTCTTGAATTTGAAAACTATTCTTGAAAAAGGTGAAAAAAAATTTAATAATATTAATCAATAGCACTAAAAAAAGAAAAGAAATTGGATGCATCATTCTTATTATTATTGTTGTTGTATTTTTGTCCATATTGTTACAAATGCACTTCTCACATTAAACTATTGAACAAGTCTTTTTGAAGAGAGAAACTGTGCCATATTATTGTATTTTGAGTAATTTTTATTTATATATATATTATTTTTGGCAGCAATGGAGCAAAGTGAAGAATCAACCTGTCTGGAGGCAGAAAAAACGCCAACAAGTGATGTCATGCCAGCCATGAGTTCGTCTGTTCCTGAAGAGGGTTCGTCCTCGTGTGACGCCACTGTCGGAACGGAGGAAGAAGACGAGAGGACGGAGCCCCTAGACAGGTGCAGCGACGGCAGCGACTCTGGTCTTGGTCCGGACGAAGAGGGCAGAGCATCAAATGGTAAATTGAAATTTTAATGAATATTGGGTGTGGAAGTGAAGGAATTAGAGTTTTTGCTGATTGTAAAAATTATTTTTTTATTAAAAAACAATACGGCTCTTTGTTTAATTTACCAGTTTCATGCACGGTCTGCGATCCTATTTCATATTCACGAGCAGGAAAAATACAAAAAAATTCAGCAAATTTGGTTAAAAATATAGTTTTTTCAAATTGCAGTTTTTTTCTTGCTCATGAAAATGAAATAAGAGTCGCAGACCGTGAATGAAACAGGTAAATTAAACTAAGAGCTGTTTTTGAAAAAAAAAAGTAATTTTTACAACGAGGAAAAAGCCCGATTTCTTCACTTCTATGATCATATTCTGGAGTCAACTTCTTCAAACAAAAATATTGAGTGTGTTTCTTTTGACAGATTCGGCATCTACTATATCGACCTCGAGTGAATTTTGTCCTGCACCTCACGAACCACTTCCACCAAATGCAGCTCCTAACAGAAGTTCCTTGAAGAGGAGGAGAGATGAGGCTAACCTTGAAGGCTGTTCTTCGCCCAAGGCCAAAAAGAAGAGGTCCATTTCTTTCCAGTCCGTGACTGTCTACTACTTCCCAAGGTCCCAAGGATTCACATGCGTCCCATCTCAGGTGCGCTTTAATTATGATGACATATAATTGAGCTCATTTTTCAAAATGAACACCATTTTTTTAACTAACAGCAAGAAATGTAATTGAGAATTAACATGGTGAATTTCAGAGGTGCATTATTTTCATTATTTTTTTTTTTATCTGATACTTCATGTTAAAAAACATTGATTTTTCACTTTCTGGCGCTGCATTTTACATTGTTTTTAATTAATATTATTTTTTTAATAATTTAATTCATTTCTCTGTTGCAGGGTGGCTCCACTCTTGGCATGGCATCCCAGCACAGCCATGTGCAGAGCTTCACTCTGTCAGAACACGCTTCGGAGCAGCGGCGGAACCAGAGGCAAATGATGCTGCAACTGCGAAACCAGCGTCTGGAAAAGGACAAAGAGGAGAGTTCTGAGTCCATGGTGCCGGTAACCTCTAGTTCCAGTGAAGACTCCGAGAGTGAGGAGGAGGCCAGCGAGATGTCAGACAGCGAGCTGGACCAGGACCCCAGCTATTACACATTACAGGTACACTTTCATAATTTTTACTGCTTCTCTGGTACGAAATTTCTATAACTTTATGGAATATAATTTTTCAGCCTGTTTCAACAAGGCAGAGGAGAAATTTACTCAGAGCTGCTGGCGTCCACAAAATTGACTCGCAAGAAAAGGATTTGTGCAAATTTATTCGCAAATCCAGAGAGACCTGTGGATGCAACTGTGATGGCTACTGTGACCCTGATACCTGTACCTGCTCTAGATCTGGAATCAAGTGTCAGGTAAATAGAAATTGAAATCTGATTCTTAGAGATATTAATTAATTCTTTAGTCGTGAATTCCAACATTCATTTAATTAAAACCTGGAGAATATTTAGCAAAAATTTGCAAATTATATTTTGTTTGTCCTTATCTTGCAGGTGGACAGACCTAGCTTCCCGTGTAGTTGTACCCGTGACGGCTGTGCCAATAGCGCTGGACGCATTGAATTCAATTTGGAGCGAGTGCGGACGCACTTTATTCAGACGCTGATGCGTCTCGAGATGGAGAAGAAAGAGGCCGCCGAGCAGGAGAGGCGCAAGCACGTGGCCCAGTGGGGCTCGGCCACCGAATTGCCCTCGGCCTCTGGGTTGCTAGGCAAGCACGAAAAGCCCGGGCTGCACCACGTCAGCCTGCAGCCCAACATCGAGTCTTGTGTCCACTCGGGCAACTACAGCACCACCATGTACGCGGACCAACCAACCACCAGTCGGGGAGAGACCCTCCCCGACCTGTATTCCTTTCGTGACCAAGAAGAAGAAAATTTCACGCCTCAGGATAATCTCGGCAACCAGGAGAAGGTGATTTCTCCGTTTTATTTACTTTGGAAAAAAGCTAAGCATATTCACTTTTTGTTGGTTTGTTTTGCAGAATCACGTAGTAGAATATTTCGGCGCTTCTTCGTTCAACTTTGAATATGAGAGCTACGGTTTCAACCATCAAACCGAGTACCACCAACATCACCATCATCAGCACCACAATCATCAGCAGCAGCCAGGCCAGTTTGGCTTTGATCATTACCAACAACATTATCAGCAACACAATGGTTTTAAGGTAAATTTTAAGTAATTAGTTGTGATTAATTTTTTTGTTTATATTTTCTACGGTTAAACAGCAAAAATGCAATGAAAGAAAGATATTTCAAAATTAACAATTTTTCTTCTTCCAAATAAATCGATTAAATTTCAAGCTATTAGCACAAATGATTTCAACAATGACTTACAATTAGCAGTAGAAGTTTCTCTCTTCAAAAATTTCATTTAATGATGTGAAAAATTAAAATTTGTCGACTTTCTTAATCTTCGTTTTTATTTAATTTTTTTTCAACATCAAAAGTATTCCACGCAAAAAAAATATGTGGGTAATAAATTTTGATAATTTTTTTTACTTTATTATTATCTTCTTGTACAGAAATATCTCTACAATCTTAAAGGACAAATTTAAGTGGCTGAAGGTTATTTTTTTTTTCGGAGTCGGAATTTGATGAAAAAAAATGAGTCTATCATATCATGGAAAAATTTCAAAACTGATTTAGATTGCTCGAAGTCTCTGACCTTCTGACCTTCACTCTCTTCCAGGAGATCGAGTACCCTAGTCACTACGCCTCTTCAGACGTGCAGTTGGTTTACACGCACGAGGAGGTCGTCGACTCCAAAGAGGCCAAATACACAAACCTGCACAACGCCCTGCACCCTCAGCCAACCGCCAAACTTGAGCCCTTTTCGGAGCTGCTCACTGCTCAGTACAGTCAGGAGTACACAACAGGCCAAGAACTGTATCATCACCAGCAAACGGCTCCTTACGAAGCAAGGGCTGTCGAGTCCGAGGGCTTGGCTGTGCGGCCGGAAGAGGCGGCGCTGACTCTGCTGGACGAGTGCAGCAACGAGAACTTCGGGGAAATCATCAAGAAGTCCATGGTGGAGAGTGTGTCTGCTTGAACAAGCCAAATCCACAATCACTGCCTGCAATGGGAGCTTACTTGTTGAGCCGATGGACTGATTCAAGGCAAAAAAGTGCATCACTCATTTATTCTCATCGTAGTTGCTTCTTTAATTGCTAACCGACCAAAATGTGAAAGGTTATTTTGAATATTTTAAGAATGACATATAATAATTTTCCAGGCTGTTTTCAATTTTGGCCACAGGTTTTGTGAGTGTGTCAATTTAAAAATTTGCTAGCTGCCCATCTTGTTAAAAAGTAGCTATTTAATAGTGGAAAAATCTGTCCACTTCTGTGGGAAAGATCTCTTCTTCTTTTAACTGTCCTTACTTCATTGCAAGTAAACTATTAGATTATTCCAAGATTTTCCATGAAAATATTAAATTATCTGTAGGAGAAATAAGCTTTGCCTGAATTTTTTCGAAAGACTTGCTATTTATCAACCAAATCACTTTGTATAGAATAAGAGAAAATTTTTGAAAAGCAAGGAATGCGGCTCCGAATTGCAAATGAGTGAAAGTCTTAAGAATTAGTGCAGTATAGCGAAGATTTTTTGTTTTGTACGGATTAGGAAAAGAGTGATGCTTTGATGTAGCAGTATCATAAGATCAATTGAATTAGTTCCAGTTGGGCAGGGTTTGCCTGTTATCAATCTCTACCTAATGCCTTATTCTTTCGTTTTAGTCTTAAATCATGCAACTTTTTAATTCTGTGCCTTTATTAAATGCAAATATTCTAAAGCAAATATTCTACTTTTTCGTAAACTGTCTTTGTCTTGTCTGTCGTAAAAGATTGTAAAATTACTTCATTATTCCAAACCCTGCCTCAGTGAACTACTTTTCGTCTTTGTCTCTCGCTGTAATCACTATTATTGAACCAATCAAAATGATGACATACACACCTAATAAGAGCTCAAATGAACGCAGAGTAACTAATCTAACTAATTAGTGCTTGTTGCTGTCTCGTTTTCGCCCTGTTTTGCATGTCCGTGTGGAATCAAAACAGAGTCAAGTACGACGTAAGCTCAACTGTGCAATAGTCCATGAGTTGCAAGGAATTGATAACAAAAAAAAGGTAGCACCCAATCTTCTTCCTATAGTGTTTTGCATTGTTTCAAAACCTCTAAATTACGCGACTCCAATGTTAATTGTTGAGGGAGGTGCTAAAAATTGTTGCATCACATTTTCGGTTTACCAATCACTGCCAAACCTCATCTAGTGTAGTAGAGAGTTTGTCAAATTATGTGTCAACCTAAAGCACCATTTTATCAATCACCCATGAGACAAAACCAAAATCAGGATCTATATAAAAGAAAAATTCAATTACAAATTTATTAGTAAATGTGGAAAAAATCGTTTCTTATGAAATTGTAAGAGTTGTGAAACGACTCTCCCTGAAATTGTGATATTAAGATTTTCCATTTTGTGCTGAAAGTTTATTTGTAAAAAAATTTGTCTACAAAATTACTGAGCTGAAGTTTTCATATGCAAAATGGCCCTGATGTTTGTGGACGCAGAATTTATACAAATCTCGATGCCGTTTTTGTCTTTTTGAAAGACAACCGATGGGCTTTTGTTACTGAATCACACATTCATAATGTATCTAGAAATTATCATATAAAAATGTGACCATCCTCCGATTAGCGTGTAAAAAAAATCAAATACTGATTATAGAAGAAATGAAAAAAAGCACCCATTGCAGAGTGTGGGGCGAATGTTGAAACACAATTATAGTAATTATAACAATTACAATTAAACCACAGAAAGTAATCACTGCGTAAGCAAACTGTCTTGAAATAATTAAATGTTGTCATGAAATATTCGTACGTAGCAGAGGTAGCTGACTAATCAATGAACTCTAAACAGTAGCAAGCAATCAACAAACTGCTTTGATTTGTATAATTTATTGACATGCAAATGTGCTCGCTGTTTCCTTTATCACTTAATGTTTAATTTATTTTGTTGCACTTGAAATCCTTTTAAAAGTCTTACTTTGTATTTATTATAACTTTTCATCACATACAATTTGTATTCACTGCACTCACTTTTTAGTTTGTTTGTTTGTGGACGAGACAACGCACCCTGAGTCTGATTGCAAGATATCTGTTGAACTTGCATTTTTCTTCCTGGCTCTATATCAAAACTTCATTGCGAATGATTTTTTTGTAAAAGATCGTTAAAATAATTTCATTTTTTAATTCCCCATTTTGTGGCGGGGAAGTGACAAAAAATGTTGTGTACACTTCTATTGAAATAAAAGTTAACTAACATTGCTTAATACAAATTGTGTATTTTTATTTTACTCAAATTGCTTTTTCAATATTTATATAAAAAAATGCCTCTTTTTTTAAGAACATGACGTGGTGAGAAAATCCATCCAGGAAGATATTCCACGGTTATTTACGCTTGTAATTTGATATCTGGGTGTTGGTGACACTGATTTTGTGACATGCCACCGCAGCTTGAGAATAATTGCAGGTGAGGTAGGAAGATTGCCATTCATTCTTCACACCAGCATTCTAAACGTAAGCAGGGTGAAGTCCTTTCATACTTGTCACTCAAACCAAGCAACGGCTCCAGCCGAGTGATGCATCTTCCTATTGTGCACGAGATTTGTGTCTCCCAACCAAAATATACTATATGAAATAATGGTATTATTCAACTCTTGTCACTGTAAAATGTCCAGATTTATGAATTTTTTTTTTCAAACAGCTGTTACAATTTTAAACTACTAAGGTTGAAGTGATTTAATTTAAGGAAACTCATTTCTAATGCACTAATGCCTTTAAGTCCATTTTTGTAATCATGCGTTATCACTCAATTTTTTTCCTCAAATTTAAATTAATTGAGGGGGTCCAGATTGATCTGATCAACATCTGGACATTTGTAAAAAAATTGTTATTTTTTGTATATTTATTTTTATTTGCGCTTGTTGATTAAATATTAAATCTATATAATAATTTTGATCATGAAAATGCAGACTAATCTGAAATCTGGGAAAAATGAAAATTCCAGTGAAAATTATTGATAAATGGTGATATAATTTGGGTGCAATCAACGCAATGAAAAAAGATTGAAATTGTCATTTTCTGCTTTAACCGTAAAAACTTATGTGATAAAATTTTCTTTTTATTCATCGCGTTGTTCTCTTTTCATTATTTTTATGGTAAATTTTTAATAAAATATTACGGCTAATATTAATTTTGATTTTAATAAGTTTTACAACCAGCTGAAATTTTTTCAAAATTTATTGATGTACGCTCCACGTCAAAATATTCAATTTATAAATTTTAACGTTAAAAATCCCATGAATAAAAGATGCGACAGGAGCTGCACACAGGACCCCAGTAAAAACATCTATTCAAACCATAAATATCAAGCTTTTTGGCTGGACACTGGACATATTTTATAGGCAGTGTGTGTTTGTCACACTTCTTTTTCAATATCACACTTTGTGACGGCTGCATATGAATTGATATCACGTTGCAAGAGAGGGCGAATTTGAAAACATTTGACTGGTAAAAGAGTGTCGTCTGCGGCGGCGTTTAACCCTTTGCCTTATTGCGATTAACATATTTTCGGGAATAAAAGTGTGTGATGTGTTGTCAATTTGCTACTTGATGGATGAGAGGCAAACAATGCGTGTGGCCCCCATCGGCGGTGATGATCCATCATAATGAGCAGACACTCTGACTCTCGATCCAGCACAGACTCTGGGTTTCGCTTTTCAAAATTTTAATAACGGACCTTTCTGAAGCTCTCATTGTAGTTGACCACAGAGCACGTCACCTCAAATGTCAAACACTCTTCTGCGACTTTTTGCCACTCCGCGCCAGTTTCAGCTGGTAATCAATTTTCAATGTTGAATATAATAATACTGAATAATGTTATACTTTCTTCTTTACAATCTTAACTATTTCAGGACTTTATAAATGGGGAAGCTTTTTAATTTTTTCAAAGAAATTTGCTCAATTATTTTACGCAAATATTTATTTAAATAGGTATATATGAACTAATAGCAAATTAAGTAGGTGGCATGGCCTATATTTTTAAATAAGATGTAAGATTTTAAAGCTTTAATTTTTATGTGAATACATAATTATATATTTTTCAATTTTCATTCCTTTCTCATGAAAAAATTGCAGCAAAGCGTGGGAATATACATACATTTAAAAAAATCGTTTTTTGAATCTAAAATCAGATTTTCCTTGATGGGGGTTTTTTTTTTGATGAAAATATTAAAATGCCAGCCACTAGAGATTTAATTAAAAGCACCTTTACTAATTCTTTAATTTAAATTTACTATTGCCTTTCATGCTTGCAAGATTTTCATTACAGTTCGGAGTTTTATGTTGGTTTATTATTGAATAATTTAAAAACAAAGCATTATAACAAAAGATGTTATATAAAAATTATTTGGGCAAACTTAATCTAACAATAAGCCCAATAAGCGCTCCTATTTGTAATCTAGAAAATTTATAAGCCAAACAAAAAATTATTGCCAAAGCAAAAGCGCCTTCCAAGAGAGATGTTTCAAGGCAAATTTTTTATTTAATAATAAGCGATTAGCCGCAGCTCCATTCGAATATTCCCATGGAGAGGCAGACCAAAAATTAAAGATGAGAGAGACCACCCAGCTGTTGGATTTAAACCGAATCATTGACAGAAAACCCCATCAGTCCGTCTGTCCGGCGTGATACACGCAATGCGCGCCGTATATTTTCTCCATCGCGAGAAGAGCGCTAATCCTCTCTCTGTTCTCAATGGCCAATCATCTGATAATTCAGATAATATCATGCATATCTCTCGTCCGCATCTTATTTTTTATGCCAATTGTGACCGCAGCCATCCATTTTTCAGGCTGCTTTTTGAATATTATTTTGAAATAAAAAAATAAAAAAATATTAAATTCATTAAATTATTTTACGCTATTTATTATATTAAATTACATTTATCTGTCCCTTATTGTAAGCTATTTTTTTTAAACTTCATTGAAGCGATTTTCTCTATGGCGATGATTAGGATTTGTAAACAGAATTAGATATTTTATAATTAAAATATTCAAAAATTCAATTGGAAAATAATCAATTAATATCATTTCAAAAACATTGTAATAACCTCCTCCTTGCGAAATTGCAATTCTATTTCATCAGATTTGCAAATTTTCTCTGGGTATTAACTGATTAACCCAAATTCATTTTCTCTAAAGCTTCCTGTTGCCTGCAAAATATAAACCCCATAAACAAGGAAACATATTTGAAATATTCTCCAATCTCAATTGCATGATTTTCTGCGGTAATTGCGAATCAGAAAAATGCAGGCTGAGGCAATATGTTGAATTCGCCGGTTAGTGACACGAATTGGGCCGGCTGCGGTGTGTCCTGAAAAATAATGGACAATTTTTTCGCAACTGCTCGATTACCGATTTCCATAATCTGCTGCGGGAGGTGTGTAATTCCGCGGCTATAAATCACTGTTTTGTTCCGCGTTGAATTCAATTTAAAATGGAGAGGGGCTTTCGAAAAATGCGTGCCCGGCCGTAAATCAAGCCGCCTTGCCAAATTAACACGATTTATAAGACAAAACATGTGAAACGCGCGCGCCTAACTGACGCGTTCATGCTCTCATAAAAAATCAATCTCCATTCGGAGCAGCGCCGGTATATACGTCCGAACGTGTAATGGAAAATTTATAGCTCGAATTGTGCATGAAAGGGTGTAATTTGCCAGCCCTTTAATTGAAACCTGCGGTGCCGATTGTGCTTTTTGATACAGAAAAGCCGCCGCGCCGCCAAAGCTGAGCCGACCCGATTGACGCCAACAGTTTTCGAACAAATTATAAATTGAGGCGACGCCACACACACAACACACCACTCGGCTTTGACAGCTCAATATTAATATTAATATGTAAAAAATCTATTGATGCATAGCCCATCTCCAGCTATGCGATCGGAATTTTACTCCTTCTCTCGTGATTTAAATATATAATATGATATACCGTTAAAAATTTCCAATGTATGTTGAAGCTTTCAAAACTTTCAAACACACACTGTTGAATTTTTGGCGAATATTAAAAAATCAATATGTTTTCTGAAATGACTGAAGTGATTAATAGAAACTAGAAAGCTTTTATTTTGGAATTTGAACTATTTTTGGAGAAATGGGCGCAAAATCACATATTTTCACCTAAATCAAGAGCCTCATTTTTCACCTTTTATTTGTTTTATATATTTATTTATTAACTCATATCATCTTTTTTAACTTAGAACTTTTACTTCTAAACAGATTAAATCACAATTTTGTACAAAATAATAAATCACCTGTTTTTAGTTTTTTTTTAACCTAAAAGGCCTTATTACAAATCGCAGTGCATGTAAAAAAATCATTCATGGTTGCAACCATTTTCATAATTTTCAATTTGTTGTGTTGATAATCACTCGTCGTTTTCAACCTCTATGCTGCATTTTAAGTAATAAAAAGCGTCTCTTTTAATGCTTTCAGTAACTGCCCCGCGCTACTTTTCCACCATTTATTATGCTTTAGCACCGACGTAAGTCTCAAGCGTTAATCTCACTCTTCGATTTAATGCGTTTTCCGAGTAAATTAAATACTCTCTCGGCCACTCGCACGACTGCTCGTAAATATTTAATTTTCCTTACGCGCTCAAAAAGTGCTCGATTAACTTTATTATCAATTTATTAGCACTGCTCGCTCTCTTCAAATTTACAATAACAGAGGCGCGCGTCGCGAGCGTTCTCAGAAGTCGCGTCGCATAAAAGCAAACAATCATAATTTTCAACTCGCTCAGTGCAGAGGGGTTATTTAATTGCAGCTGTAAACTCTCGGCCTGAGCTAAGCCTTTTCCCAGAAAAAGGGGTAGAAAAAATTAACTCCAGTATAAATGTATTAAAATTATAAATACCATGAAAAATGAAAATGCCGTCCTTAGAGTTTAATTACGACGATTCAAGAGCGAATAAAATGGTTTTTCTTCACCGATGAAATTTCACAAGTGGGACGTGTTGATCCGCTTCTCGCTTTTCACTTCAGCGTTTTGATCGCCGTCATTTAAATGAATATTAAATTTAATATCGTATTAGCTCGGCGGCTTCGGGCGAAAAAAAAGCAGCGCCATTAATGCTGCCGAGAGATAATTAATATTCATGTGGTAATGAGGGGGCTAATTATAATATTAAACACGGTGTTTTTCTCCAAGGCGGCGGCGTCAAGCGAGTGAAAAACACGCGCGCCCGAAACAATTTTCTCGAGATCTAAGGTG